GGAGCTGGGGGGGGGCGCAAAATTGAGCATTTTTCACTCATTTCTGCCCTCCCCAGCCCCCAGGAGCACTCTATAAGCCTCCTAAAGGCAATGCACGGCCATTTTGGTGATGGGGGCAGGGTTTTGGGAGGCAAGAAAATGCTGTATTCAGTGTATAAGACGCAACCAGATTTTCAGCCTCTTTTTTTGAGGGAGAAAGGTGCGTCTTATCCTCCGAAAAATATGGTACTTTTTCAACTGTATGTTTCCATCAAAGTTTCATTGCTGTTTAAATATAATATTTAATCATGTCCCTAACCGTGTTGTTCTCTCATAGGTATTTATCTTATTATGGATTGCTGACTGGATGGTGCACCACATCTGGAAAAAAGGGAAAGATCCAGATAGTTTTTCTATTCCTTATCTTACTGCACTTGGAGATCTTCTTGGAACTGCCTTACTTGCACTGAGTTTTCATTTCCTGTGGCTGATTGGGGATAGGGATGGAGATGTAGGAGATTAATAAATTAATAACACCTAATTTATCCCATTAGTTGATGTCTCAGAGTAGGGACCACTTGATTTAGCATTTCATATGAAATATATTAAGAGAGTAGTTGAGTTTCATTACCGTAACGTCAGTGTTGACACTGATATTAAACAGCCTTAACTTTTTTAAAACAATAAAAAACTAAAATAAGAGGCTTCAAGTATTTTTACACTGCAAAGGTGTGTTTGGGACTCTTTCTCATCACAGAAAGAGAAAGTTGGGCAGCGTTATGTCAGGAAATAAAATATAGTTGATAGGTAACAGAATGATGTGGTTTAACCACAGATGTATCTGCCTAATGAAATGTAGCATGCGTTTCATTAGGCAGTCTGGCTATGCATTTGAAGTCATTTAATATAATGGGTTCACAACATGAAATAGAGATAACCCATAATGCAAAAGATATTATTTTTGCATATCAATAAGGTTCAAGGAAGACATTCGACATTGCGTTTATTTTATTTGCTGGCAGAAAAGGGATGGAACACTTTCTGTTCAAGAAAATTAATCTGTTGAAATAGGAAAGATGTTTCTCATAGAGATAATACAGTATGATCATGCATGGACAATAATAATGTTGAATTAATGATTGTAACTCAAGAGGTACATTGACCCTGTTTTCAGGTGTTCACGTTTTGTCCTTTATTGTGATGTATAAAGAATCAAGACTATTTAAAGAAGAAGAAAAGCAACTTTTCATATGTATTGGGGAAACTATAATATAACTTCTGAAATAGCAGGTGGATGCTTTTATTTTTTTTTCTTTTTAGAAATACCTATTATTAGAAAAATACTATTGAGTTAGTTTATCTTGGAGATCTTTTATCAAGCACCCAGAATTGCTTTGGAGTTAGACATTGCCGAAATCTAAACCAATGAGTCAATCAATCAGTCAGGCATTCATGCCAATTACATGCAACCAATGTTATTTCCTGATACGTTGCAGTTCAAACTTTAAGATTTATATTTAGAATATCATCTCATTTTGCAATGAGAGGTTGTTCCACTGAATACTGTTTTAATCATAGCTTTGTTGGGCTAAAGAAATTGCTTGTTTCTGGGAAAACATGTCCCGTGTCCAGAATGTTAATGCTTGTTGAATGACTACTTTGTAGAGTATCTTTATGAAGTGTCACAGGTACTCTTTAGTTAGTTTCTGTGGTACGTTGATGATGATGGGGCATTTTCCACTGCACACCATTCATGTCTGTTATTTACACAAAAGAAAATCAGTAAATGTTTAAACTGGTTTTTGTTTAAATGTTTAAAGAATTTTTTTGCTTTAGATTTGGGGGAAAAGAAAAAGATTGTAGAAGCTTTATGATATAGATTATTATGAGTTGTAGACTTCCTTGAGTTGTCCTATCATTAAACATTAATATTCAATCAGTCCTTGGCAACACAGTTTCTGACTCCCTGCGCTGGAAGCCACCAGTGAGAATTTAAAAATTATAATTTATAATTGTTTAATTTTCTACTAAAATTAATTACATTTGGCATCTAATTATTTCCATTCAAATTACATGGAAATCCAAGCTACAGAGTGATGTATTTTAAAGGCAGATTCATGGTAATCTGTGGTAGTAGATTATTGTGTGGGACCCCAATATTCAGATGTGGGCTTCTATTAATACAAACACCTAGTATAATTTCTTGATCATTATCTTCATCTTAATAGTTCAAAATACTGGCAACTATTCAGCTTGCTAATTGAAATTCTTTAGATAATTTTCCTTTAATGATACATTTTTTTTCACGATAACTGTCTTGTTTATTTCTGTACTGGAGATTGAAAGATAGAACAGAAATAAGCTTTTGTTTTTGTTGCCCTTTGGTTGTTATCTATTAGACACTTTTCAGGAAGTAGATGAACTCTGTGAGGTCTACTTCTTAGTGCATATGCACTGTTACCATTACTAAGCCCAAAAGAGATTTGGATTTAGCAATTAAGGTTTGAATTCTGGTTGAATGTTTTTATAAGGATTCATGGTCTGATAGAAAATATTGCCGTATTTGAAGAACATATAGTTCCAAGAATATATATCCTTGGAACCAAGAAAAATAAAATGTCATCTTTATTCAGTGTAATACCCTGAATATAATGTATGCATGATATTTTCACTTGCTTTCCCTAGTTTTTACATACTTGCCTTACGATTTATTGAGAAAGACCAAAGTAACTATATGTAGACTAGGTTCTAATTTCACTGAATTATAGGGCAGGGGGAGCAATAATCAGGACGGAATAAGATTCATATGTGCGTGTAATATATTTGAGGCAGATCATTAACATGTTCAAAATACAAAAGCACATGCTTACAGAGTGAATATGTAAAGCAAGGTATTGAGGTGTTTTATCAAACAATTATTTTAAATTCCCCTTTATTTTAAAGCCTCTACTTTTCTGCTGTTCTACAGATTTCTTCTAATGCCATTTGATACAGAACCTTTGAAGCAAACACTGAGAATTCATGTCCTCTGTCACTTGCTATTCATATAACCCATCCACCATGACAAGTTTAGTTGGAATGACATAAGCAGATTCAGTTCTGTTCCCTTTATGAAGTGCATAAATTAGAAGAAAGTAGCACTTGATGGGTTCAAATAGAAGTCCCTGCTAATGGTTGTACTGAGTTGCTAAAAGATGAGAGAACAGTGACTAAACCAATTGACTAAACTTTCAACAATAGAAGCAGAGCAACCACCAGTTGGAAAGTGGTTGCTAACCAAGAAATTCTGCAGACCAGTTTATGTAAGTTCAGGAGAAAGAAAACAGAGGGCCATCAGATTTTGACCATGACACTGACTATTAGAATATATAGTCTAAGAGAGTTTTAAGAGAAGACTCGATTGCTGTCTCTTGGATCATTTATTTTGAATGTACTATTGTATTTTTACCAGTAAAAAACACACACATTTTGTCTTAAATGTATAACAGTGGTTTTCCAGGCTGCACAAGTTTCTTCCCTATTAATGGGGCAGCCTGAGCCCCAAGAGCTGGTAGTGAAATAAGCTTACATACGTCTACAAAATCAGATAGTAAACGGATGGTTGAGATGGATGGTGCTTGATTTCCTATTTAATTTTATGATTCTGAGGTCATTTTAAAAAAGAATTTATTGTCACAAGCTGTACAAAGTTCCTATTTGAATACTATTCTCTTATATTAAATATAGGTTATTCTTCATATCTGAGTTGCATTTGATTTCCAACTAAGAAAACGCTAGGGTTTCATTTCCTGGGAGAAAGAAATAATCTGATCAGCCTTTTTCTTGTTATTTTTTTTATGCTGCAAAGAGAAACTTTTTTTTTTAGAATCACCTTTGATATCAGTTGCATATGCAGGCTTATTGCATTCACTGTAATAATGTTTATATTCCAGAGTGATAATGCACATTGACTTCAAAATAGCCAAGCTGTTATGCAGCTCCATTTGATTGAAGACATTGCAATAATTCAGGCATGTCGGGAACATTTATAAATGGCCATTTCACTCACGAAGATAAATATGATCAGGGAGCTGCTATCATTCTGCTTTTCAGAAGGTCTCATCTTTTGACTCCAATAAAAAATATGGATGGGGAAAATGCGTGGTTCACTAAGGCAATTTAAATGTCAGCTTAAAAATGTGTTATGTTACTTTTTCTCAGTCTTTTACATATGTGTGCACACACACACACACACACACACACAAGAGTATATCAGAATCTTATGTGCTTTTTAATAGAAGTAAATTCATTTTTTNGGGTGTACCGAGGTGCACCCACAATCGCTCGCGCGGCTGCGTTCTGGACAAGCTGAAGTCTTCGAACACTCTTCAAGGGCAGCCCCATGTAGAGCTTGTTACAGTAATTGTAACGCGTTACAATATTCATTGTAATTTTGTTAGGAAAAGTACATAAAATAAGGTTTGTAATGAAATGGCTTACTGTCCTCCCTTAGATGGAACATCAGAAGTGGCATTTGTTTTCATCTTCACTTACATGGTTATAATTCTATTCTATTATGTAGTTTCAGTTCAAACATAATATAAACCAAATTTAGTCACTTCCGGAAAAAAAAATACTGAACTGAAATTTTAAATTTAAAGTACTGATAAATTTTAAAATACACAGGAATTTAATTATATAAGAGGAAATTTAAATTTAATGAACTCACTTTTTTGTTTTTACTTCAATCCTGCTCACTTTATTTACCTGGTGCCAATGAAAATCTGGCCTTCTGGAAGCTTTTGAATCTTTTTCATCAGAAAGGTACATAGTCCTTACATGAGGATTCATTTCAGTTTCTTTAAGTGTAGAACTTTTAGAGCTGTTTCAAGGGGTGTCTTAATATACTTCAATAGACTGCTTGTTCTTTTCTCTTTGCATGTTAACTTCTATTTACAGGATATCAGTAAAGCAAATAAGTAAATAAACAGACAAACCAATAAATGTTGAAGCTCTTACACAACTTGTTACATTTGCCCAGTGTCAACATGATGTAACTCTGTTTAATAATTTCATGCTTTGCATCACCTGGATTGCTTTTTCATTCACTACATCACATTTTATTCTTGTGATCCTTTTTGTTTATCTGTTTTCTTATCTGTTTAAAGTAATGAAATGCAGATATGTATTATTTTAATTGGTGAGTTTAAGCTGAAGCTGATATGGCTTAAAGTAGGAGAAAGTAGGAAAGTAGGACAATAATTTTAACTCAGGGAACAAAATCAGACTGGCATCTATCTATCCATCCATCCATCCATCCATCCATCCATCCATCCATCCATCCATCCATCCATTTATCTATCTCTATACATACATACCAGGG